CCTCATTTTGGGTCGAAAAGTTTGGGGCTACTGTTACAGCAGTGAAATGGAAGTTGTGAATTATGTTGGAGAAATGTTGATTTTGGTTGCAATATCCCACTTTTTTGATGGACTTCAGTCTGTGCTATCAGGTTTCTGCAGTTTTTCACCATTTCCTCTCTCATAACAATAGATTTTTTTTCCCTTCTGATTCTGGTTTTGCAAACCTTTATGCAATACCTGGCATAACCTACAGCTAAAACTGAAGTCAACAGAACAAAAGATAATAAAAGGGTTTCTCATTTTCAGGGAAGATTTTATTGCTGATTTGATGAAAAGAAGTGACTTGAATTTACAATTTCAGGTGTCATAAGAGGAAGTGGACAACAAAAGATTGGGGCATATGTTAATTTGGGAGCTTACTATCTTATGGGCATCCCAACTTCAGTTGTATTAGCTTTTGCCCTGCACCTTGGAGGGAAGGTGACATATAGTCGTTGTACTTCTATTTTTTCAACTCCCCTCCATACTTTGTTTTACTGTAGTTTACCTCCTACTTTCTGAATCTTTCAGGGACATTTTATTGATTCAAATTAACATGTTTTTCGCAGGGTCTTTGGACCGGAATTATTGTGGCTCTGGTTGTCCAGGCACTATTTCTTGCAATCATAATCACATGCACAGATTGGGAGAAAGAAGTAAACTACTTTGTCATGTTAGGTTTCATGTATCAATCTCTGTTACATTCATCTCATGCTCCATATTTCATTTCTTATGTAGGTGAAGAAAGCCTCCGATAGAGTGTACAACACAACGACCGTGGCCGATGCATTTAGTAAAAACTGATGATCAAATTGTTAGATTGGAATCTTCAAGTTGGTTCTTGTAAACTTTTCATTTTCCATTTTCGTAAATTTTCTCGAGCATTTTCAGTGATGCATTTGATCAAACACCTGGTGACATTGACATTTACTTGAGCACCAACAATATACAATATAGACAGAAAATTTTCCTAGGCATTTTCACGAACACATATATTCAAGCGCTTCCCATGAAGTTTACAGTACAAATTAGAAACCATTGAGATTGAAAATGGTCATTATTTGATCAAATCGTCCAATAGAGTTTCTCCTAAAAGGAATGAGCCAACAATAAAATTGTGCACAAAATGGCCAAGCTTCCATAAGCTAAATGATGAATTGAAATCAATTTAAGCAAATTTTTTTTTACTTGGGTGATAAGTAAATTAAAGCCCCAAGATGCGTGAACATGAGGTGGCATGTATTTTGGTTTTTTTTTTGTCATTAAAAATGCTTCATTAAAGAACATACAGAAGGGTTTTCTTTGCTATCAAGGTCTAGATTCAAGTTCTGTTGCCAACAATCCCTCTTGGTGGGTAATATGTAAAAACTTCAAAAAGAGCTAAGAACTGCTGTTAGGTTTTGAATTCTTAGAATTGGTTTTCCTTGCCAAATGTACACTTTCATGTAATTCCTCTTAGCTCATCTTTAGAAATTAGGCCTTGGGTATTTGCTACAAAGTTAAAGTACATTGAAGAGCTTATGAGGCTACAAAACCAAAGTCATTTATGCATTCATTTACAATGGGCATCATTAGGAAAATCAGCATCTTCATCACAATAATTTGTCTTGATGACTAGTTATATAGGACAGTATTTCCAGCACAAGATTTTTAACCAAGGCACGTGATTTTGCTTACTATAAGTCTAATCATTGGCTACCAAGTGTCCTTTTGACATGCCAAAAAGGCTGGGGTTGGTATGGACTCACCAACTCTCTCATTTACATTTTTCAAATGGGTTTTTAGAGAGAGAGAGAGAGAGAGAGAGAGAGAG